ATCATGTGTTTCCTTTTTGTCTAATTGTAACACTTTTATTCAGTCTCTTCAACTAAGAGTCTTTGCTGGGATGGAAGATTTGGGCTTGAGGTGCCTCAGGGAAGTTCTGGTTATAGAGAAAATGGCGAGTCTCTCAGAGAAGAAGACGACCAAGTCTGGCCCTGTCCTTGGTCATTCAAAGCCATGCCGAAGCATTCAGTTATACTTGGTGTGCATTGGAGGGCATACAGCCATCCCCATACATGCAGCCAGTCACCAGATGTAAACATGGAAGCAGAAGACCACCTCCTGTTGGTACTGCTCCTCTTCTTTTTTCTCTTTCTCTTCAGAACTGCCATCATTGAAGACCCAGCTTCCCATTCTCCAGACATTTTCTATGAAACTCTGTACTGGCCTACTGATTCATATGGATCCATTCTGCCACTGAGGATTCCTTCAATGAGGTCCCTCTTCCCAAAGGATGGAGTGAGGGAACAGAGCTGAAAGGGAAGGCTTTCCAGGCCCGGTAATATCTGCAGGCTCCTATGTAGTCCTGGGCCTGGGCTTAAATGCCTGCTCTTGGAGGTGCTGGGCAGACCCAGGAGGGTGCTGTCAGGAGAGTCTGTAATCTGGGTATCAGTAGTGCCCACTGCCATAGCTGAGAGAATGCTTCCAACTTGGGGGGCATCTTTGGCACTCCCTAGCAGCAGCCTGCATAGCTCAGCAAGAACTGTGAAAGCTACAAAGGCCAGGAGGAACCCTGGAGTTGTTTAGCTTAGTTAGGAAAAGACTCAGGGGAAACTCAGTTATGGTAAGTATGGATGGCTTCTCTTGGTTTTTGTAGAGGATAAAATGAGAGAATGAGCTTAAATTGTTATAGTAGAAATTAGACACTGGGAAGGACTTCCTAGCCTGAAGATTTGTTGTAGTGTCTGTTTCCTAGATACCTTGGGAAGACATCTAGGTATCTGGGAACAGTTGTTTGGGAGTAGAAAGGAGGGTATGATATTTTAATGGTCATTTTGTGGAAATATTTGGAGTCTTGCTGCTGTCTCTGGAGGATACATTCTGCTTCCATCCTGGAGAGATTCAAGTGCTTATGTACTGTCTCCTTAGCTGCCTTAGTAGTGAACCATCATCAGCTCAATGGACCAAAACAACCGTCAACCACATAATTTCTTCATCATCATGGATGTCTTTTGATTAACAAACATTTTGGGTCTCAGATATAAAAACCACACTGAGAAATGAACTGTAAATGAAATTAGAGCTCAAGCGTTTGAGCTCCAGTGCATATAGACCTTCCTTTCCTTTCCTTTATGCACAGAATGTCACTAGTAAGCCTATTGGCACCCGGGGAATCCAGTCATGTTAGTTTTCCATCCTGGAAAATCTTTGTATAGTGGGAAGTGCCCCTGATGTGTTTTCCTTTCATAGGTGAAGAGTTAGCTACATGACTTTACTGAATTTTGCATTCTTAGACTCTTAAAATATATTATTGTATTCTAGTCTTACTCTAAAGACTTTTGATGTTGAAGGAATCCTGAATTTCTCTCATATTTCCCTGTCTCCTAGGGTCACAATTACCTTAATACAGATGATTTTTCAAAATATTTAACAAATGGTACAGCCAGACACCAACCACTCAGAATGGATGCCTGCTTCAAACAAGCAGTATATATGGCTGTACCAGTACCTGGTGACTGAATGTCATGTTGCTTTCAAATATTAAAACACCATCCCTTTGAGTTGTGGATATGGCTCCTGGTTTGTTTGGGTCCTACTTACAGATCTGTTTGAGGGACAGCCTTGACTTCTTTTCATGTGGCGTAGTGTAGACAGGACTATGTGGGCATTAAAATGTTTGTGAGCCAGGGGGCTTCACGTTTTATCATGTTAGGGTTAATGTAATAATTGTACCCCTTCACCTACCTAATTTGGAAAATTTCAAAGGCAACCTGTCAATAGGAATAGCTTTCTTGCTCACCTTTTCCTGTCCCTTTCTGGCTGCTTTCTTGAACTTTCCTCTTTTTCATCTTCTTTGCTCCCTGAGAACATCCTCCATTTTTACTTCACCTTGTCCTCCCATCTTTTCTTACCACTCTCTGTTTAGGGAGCTTGGTGGCTGCTTTACCTGCTTCCCTAACCTCAATGCAGCTATAAGGAATATAACTGGGTAGAGCTTATCATGCACTACATCCAGGTGACAGTATCACTCCGAAAAATATCTTTTCTACCTTATTAGTTTCTTTTGCTGCCTTGTGTACTCTGGGATGCTTGAAGCTAGACCTGCCTCTATTAACTCTTGCAGTGCAGGTACAGGACCACATGTGCACTTTTGAGTCCTTCCTAAGTCAGACTTCCCTGATCACTGTACCTTAGAATGTTAGCTACTTTCGATGGCTGTGCCAACTAAAGGCTATTAGATTTTCCTAACCACAAGCCATCCTCATTTCTGTCACATCTCAATGGTAGGAACCATTCCCTATTCTTACTCTCTCTTCCTTCCCAGTACCCACCAAGCACTCAACCCAAGTCCTAGCTGCTTCCTTGCTTAGGTCTGTGGCTAGTGACCACAGTATCTGGGTCAAGCTTGATCAGTGTTTAGGATCGGAAATGGGGTGAAGGTGAAGCAGCAGTACTGCATTTGTGTGTATGCGTATGCTCATGCACACATGCCTTTGTGTGTGTGTCAGCAAGGGAGAGTATAGCCACAAGATTGCCTCACTACTATTGCCTCTGTGTACCTAGCTGTGGGGACATTAAAAAAAAAAATCATTCTTCCATGTAAGGGGTTCCCATCTCAGACTTCTTTGGTAAAATAGCTAGAGGACAAATCAAGGGATATTAATCCATAGAAAAAGATTTAACTCAACATGAAGGAGCAAACAATTTAGAAGTGGAAAGAATGGTAGGTAGTTAGGCAATTTCCATGCCTACATTTGCTTGGGACAGAGAAGTGATCTTTTTTTTATAACAAGGGGAAATTTCAGGAACAGTTTGAGTGTTGGCGGGCCAAGGCCATGAGAGGCTGATAGTGTAGAGGGAGGAAGGAAGGCCAGTCAAGGATTTAAGAAAGTGATAAGTAGAATCTTGGTTCTAAGGGAAAAGAACTCGAGTTGCTAAGTGGGTGGGTTACTTGCTAGCCACGACTTTTCAGGAAGGGTTGGTTGAGAGAGAAAATAAAGACAAAAAGAAGAAATATGCTATGAAATTGCCAAATTGGTTTGAGTGCATAAAACATGGACTGGCTCTTTGTAGCTAGATATGATTTACAACTTTAGAAATTAGGATAATTGAGCGATCTGATCTTTTCCTCATATAGCTCCTATCCCTGTCTCTTTATTCATAGAAACTGCTTTGAGGTTGAAGGATAGCGAATTACATATTTCCAAAAGATGGTGAGAATGTTTGCTATTTTCTTTTTCTGGAGTAGGAGTAACTTTTAAATGAGTCACAAATGTTTGATAAGAATCTGGTTTGTGCTAAGTCCCAGTCTTGGTTGATAGCTCAGGCTATGATAGCTATGACCTTCAAGGGGACTCTAGTCTGTGAAATCCATGGTTTCTGGTCATCCAAAAAAGATAGCTCCTAATTCTGCTTTAATTTTTTTTACCCACTCAACTCTCCAGACTCCCCTGTTAGTAGAAGAATCAAATAATTCTTACTGCATCTTTTCCGTTGATTTCAATGTCCATGTTCTGAGACTCAAGTTATCCTGAAGCATAGGAGCAGGCTTTTGACTTCATTTTACCTAGCATCAGAAACACTATCCAGTTTTCTCTGCTACTTTATCAGCTTCTGTAAATTTGTTCTGCAAAGGAGTCAGCACCATGTCTTAGGACTTTTAGATAGTCATCTTCACCAATTTGTTACTGTGTTTTCCTTGGACTTTATCGGTTTCCAAGTCAATCCTAGCAGGACAACCAAGAGCCCTGCAGTGAATGTTCTCGGCCTCCTGTACCTTTTTTTTTTTTTTTTTTTTTTTTGACACTATTTTTGGGCTCTTGTATAAGGGAAAATAATCTCCTAACCAATCTCCCTAGTTCCATTTTTGCTTGATAATATTGATTTCTCCAAAGCAGCTGGGGACTTGGATTAAAGGTAAGTTGGGAGACTGGACAGTATCCCAGCAGTAAAATGCAACTCTTTTGCAAGGTTGACCAACATGAGAAAGTTCTGGATTCACATACAGAAACCTCCCTGATAAGTGAGGCACACGTGTACCTATGATCTGGAGCTGTCTGTGGATGGGGGTGGATCATAGCATCAAGACACTGTTGAGGATGCTGTCTCTTTGTCTATCTCTCTGTTTCTTTTGTTCGTGAAATAAACTTTAAATAGACAAATAAATAATAGGTGAATCTGTTTTTTTTTTTTTTTTTTTTTTTGGACATAGCTATTAGTCCTCTGATAAGGTAGAACTGTTTTGAGTAGGCCCTTGTTGGCCAAGGAGGCCTCACCCAAATTCCTCCCCATGGCCTCACTGTCTCAGCTTTTCCAAACACCCTTTACCCCTCTCCTCTGCCTTTCCTCATCCTTTCAAGTTCACCTTGGAGTGAAGAAGTTCTTGGTCAGAGGTCTGAAAACCACCACTAGTTGTGGGTGGTGAAAGCAGTGAGAAAAGGTTGGATGGTTCTGGGGTTTCTCGGGAAACAAACTTTACAGTTATTTTTCTTACTTATGATAAGGGACTAGGACTCTCATCCCTCCATCTCATCCATATTCAATTAAAATAGAAAAAAGACATTCCAATGCCAAATAGTAGCAATTTTTCTACTAAAATTATTCTTCATGATTCTTTATGCCCTTGGTCTCTTAACATTAATTATAGAGAATGGACAGTGGACTCAGTTAACATTTCTTTCACAGAATGGAGGGTAATTCTATAACCAAAAGAAGTGTGAAATAACTATATCACTGCTTGAAGTATGAAAGAATAAAAGAGTGTTACGTGAACCTTTCAATGGGGAAATTCAGAACATGGAATGACTCATCATCCATAGGCATAATTCTTTTAGGAGATTCTGTGCTCAAAGGGAATGGAATGGTTTCCGAAGAGAAAAGGAATAGCATTTTTCTCAAACCTAACCCACTTTCAACATTGGAGAATACAGAACTCCCTTTTTCTAGCTGATGACATTGATATTTCCCAAGAGAAAGAGAGAACTCACCCACGACACTTTTCTGAGCCCCAGCAGAAATCGGCAGAACTTGGGCTTCTATTAGCAGGTTTGCGATTGACTTCAACACAAGTTTTTCACATGTGCAATAATATTGGAAACAGAAGCATCCAATTGAATGTGCAATTACTCCTTTTTAAAAAGAGGTGAAAATCTTCCTCCTCCTTCCTTTCTCCTATATGTACTCCTCCCCCTCGTGGGTCTGTGTCTGTCTATCTGATTGGTTAGATACAGCTGCCCTTCCAAGAGAATGGTGTCAGGTGGAAGCAGAGCAGCTTTCCCATGGAAGAGGACAACCTGAGGTGCTGGTACATTTCCCTTGTTTTCTATGTTCTTCTTTCTAGTAGGTTTCATGTAGAGATAGAGATATTTTTGTTTTAGAGACTCCAAGGTATATATTTTTAGTGTAGGAAATGTACCCTCTCCATGCTCCATGGTGTAAATAGAATGGAGAACACATGTGTCACTGTGATTATCCCATAGCAACCTGTGGTAGGAGCAGGACCCCTTTTCCCCACCACCGAGTCAAAGTCTGTGTCTGTGACCCAGGGCAGGTAACTGCAACCCTGCACTTATAGACCTCTGCCTGCCTGGACTTTTGTGTGCTCACCTCAGCAGGTGAAAAATAAAGTCTGTATGAACTGTCTGCACCTGTGGTGTTCTTGAGCCTGTATCAAGGGGATGAGCCAATGCTCACCACTTTCGGGATTTCTGTTAGTGAGAAACAGGCCATGGTGTCTGCTGAGAGGACCTCCAGAGGGATGCATACATCCCTTGGTATAGGTCCTGATCAGACCCCATGGCTATAGGGTTCTTTCTTAGGGAACTGCTTAGGCTCCTGTTGAGGAAACAGGACATCATGAACAGTTTTATCATCACTGTCAAAGGCCTGTCTTTGACTTTCCTAGCCTATCTTGGAGGGCTGAAGCACTGCTCCAGGGGAGTCACTGACAGTAGTGGCCACCATCTGTGTGTGTGTGTGTGTGTGTGTGTGTGTGTGTGTGTGAGTGTGATGTGTACTTCACAAATATATTCTGTGATCTATTCCTCACAATACATGCAATGGAAACTATCCTTCCTATAGATGAGGGAACACGAAGTTCACCCACGTTTGGCTGGAATCTGTGCTCTTGGCTTCTGCTTTGTACTGACCCCATAAAGTTCCTAACTATGGGTCTACATCTAAAACACACACCAGCTGTATACAGAGAAGTAAAAGGGCGTCTAAAAAACAAAACATTAGAGAAATGTGAAATTAGAGAACATACCAGTTACATGACTCATAGATAGCATAAGTCAAGAAAACGATTAAGAATTCAAATTCTTATTTTGGAATAATCCAACAAAGTCAAATTCTGAAATTTGTTCCAAAAAGTGTTCTTAGGATACAACAGGTTTGCAACAAAAAAAATTTTTTAATTTCTTAGAGGTTATGTGTTTTTCTGGAAAGAGCGAGAGAGAGGAAAATGAGAACGTACCTTCCTGGGAGATGGCCACACTGCAATCCCTTCTCCTCCATTTCTCCTTTCAGGAGACTGGGAGTGCCTAGTGTGTTTCGTCATAGTAGCTGGGTCCAGGACTTGAACCTTGTAATTGGCCATGTGAGATCCAGCTGCTTTAACCACCAGGTCACTGGCTCACCCAGTTTTTTTTTTTTTTTTTTTTTTTTTTTTTTTTTTAAATGAGTAGTAAGGGAAGTGGCCATTGCTTCCCAGCAATCCTGGGAAAGTTTTGGGACTCATTGTTAGGATGTGAAGAACTCAAGCAGTGACCAATTATTTGGGGTATCTGAGTAAATCAGTGTCGGTGGCTAAGTTGTCACATTGTAATCGATTGCATCCCTCTTTCTACTTTGTGCTCAGGGGGAATATGGTTTCCTCTCACCTGGCATGGTCAGACTCCATAGTGAGCACAGCTGAGTGGAGGCTGTGGGAAAAAGAAGTCTAAAGAATGCCCTTGGGAGGAACTACTACAAATGGGACAGAGACTCAGGGAGTCCTGGCAGCTGACTTTATCTCACCATCCTCAAAACTCATGTTCTGGGACCAGCAGTTAGTGTAATGGCTATGTCACTGGACTCCCACATAGTCGACCGCAGTTCGAGTCTTGAACCCGGTGGCTTTAACTCACACCGGACGCGTGTGCATGCGTGCCCAAGATCCCAAGAGGAGAATGGAGGAGAAGGGATTTGCGGTGTGGCCATCCCCCTTGGGGGTGATTTCTCGCTTTCTGTCTCTATGTCTCTCTGTCCTTCTGGCGAATGCACACACCCTATAGCAAAAACCTCTCCAAAAAAAAAAAGACAAAAAAAAGAAAAAACAAAAAAAACACCTCATGTTCTGACTGCAGGCCTATGGAAGAAGTGGGGGAGTAAGACAATTCTGGGGACCTACAGTTGCGCTCACATAAATTTAAGACAGCATATACCAAGCACAGTGCAGCGGTTGGGGTTCTGTGGGATGAAGGAGGAAATCCTTTCAGAGACAGGGAAGCCTCCCAAGAGGATTGCAGGAGGGAAAGAAGAGAGTATGGCTGGGTTCCAGGAGCAGGGGTGCTAGCAGAAAGTTCTAATGCAGAAAACTGACTGGTTTGCTTGCAGCTAAGGATTTTGTGTATGGAAGCAGTTGAATGGAGTTGTTGGAAGTCATGATGCATTTTTTTTTTTTTTTTTTGGAGAGGTTTTTGCTATAGGGTGCATGCACTTGCTAGAAATACAGAGACAGAGAAAGGAGGAATCACCCCACAGAGGGGATGGCCATGCCACAATCCCTTCTCCTCCATTCTCTTCTCGGGATCTTGGGCATGCACACATACGCGCCCGGCATGAGTTTAAGCCACCGGGTCCAAGACTCAAACCATAGTTGACTACATGGGAGTCCAGCGACATAGCCATTATGCCAACTGCTGGTCCCGATGATGCTTTTTTACAAAGATCTATGTCATGACTTTTACAACAAACCAGTAAAATTGGAGACAGGGGAAAGAAGACTTCAATGCTGGGTTAGGGAGCTCCAGGCACCATCAAAGGGGCAGCCCCCAAATAGGTGCTTGTTGCTATTTTGGAAAAATCCGCCTTGTTGCAGTGAGGAGGAAGAACTGGAAGGGGGGGGGAAGGTGTGGGACTTGATGCATCTGGCCAAGGGCCAGAGCAGAGATGGCAGAGAGGAAGAGGCCAAGAGGAAGACAAGGAACAGGCCTGGAGCCAGGGAGTGACTGGATGAGGAGGTAGAGGGAAGCAACGCTCCTCTGTCACATCTGAGAGAAAAACTGCAGTGTGAAATCAAGAGCTCACCAGCTCGACAGAGCTCCAGAGGATGGATCCAGGCCCAGTTTGTCTTCTGGGAGGTAGATCTGGGCTCCATAGGGGGAACTTGCAGCTAAGGCTGTCCAGAAATGGAATTTGCTGCATCAGGACCAGCGAGTGCCTGGCTCTGGGGCTGCCCAGAAGCCAGCGTAGGTGTGGGAGGATGAACTTGAGGGCCTGTGGCTCCATGACAGGGAGGGCGCCACAGACAGCACTGCTATGGAGCAGGATGAGCGATGGGAGGGTGGTGATAAAGGAGTGGGTGGGGAACAGATGTCTGAATCAAAAGGAGGGAGTGATGAGTGTGGGGAAGAAAGAGTGAGTGGGATGAGACTGTCTGCTTCTGAGGCCAAGCCGCTGGGTGAGGGCCTCGGCACTTTGCGTCCCCGCTGCTCTGGGCCTGGGTCTCTGGGTTTCACCAAACGGGTTATGTAGATCTATTTTTAGATCATTAGTGCACATAAGTACACATTTTCCAATCCATTAGTACCCAGGAGGGTATTT